GTTGAGGACTCAGTTATTTATGGGATTGATTGATTGATTGATTGATTGATTGATTGATTGATTGATTGATAATAAATTCATGCATTTGCATGAACCCATCCATTATGGCAAAGTATCTGTTTATTTGTTTTGTTTTTTTTATTGGATGAGTTAGAGTAAGTGTTCATTTAGTATCATTGAGATACTATTATAGTTTTTATTTATATTTTGAATTAGTTTTTAGTTTTTGTTTTTCATTTTCATTATAATTTTAGTCAGTGGCATTTTTATTAGTTTTAGATTTTTTTTAAAGGGGTCATAGGATGCTACATGCACTTTTACAAGTTGTTTGTACTGAAATGTGTGTTGGCAGTGTGTGTACACAACCACCCTATAATGATAAAAATCCACCCAGTGTTTTTTTTTTTAATCTGGTTAAATGTTTGCCCCTTTCTCAAATCGAGCTGATCTCAGATGCAGCCTCCCACGATAGTTTGATTGACAGTAGAGTTTCAGCACAGACTGGACTGGTGTCTTACCTTAGACCCGCCCTGAGTGAGTTGTCATCAGTCCGCCATTGTTTCACCGCTGGAGCAGTTGTAGACAAGAATGACTCCTAAGCAATTGAGGTGTTCTGTTGTTGGATGTAATAATGAACATAGCAGTCGTCATTTACTCCCGACATCTGAGCCGCTGAACTCACAGTGGATTTCATTTGTTTCTGAAGGGAATGCTCCCCCGATCTGCCTAAATGTGTCTATGTTCGCGCAAATCGTTCATAATCCAGCCTCATCTACAGAAGAAGTGTGTAATGTTTTGTAATGAATCTTTGCAAATCGCCTTTCCTAATAATGTGCTAATTAGCAAGTTTCACGATGAATGCGGCTAAAGTAAACAGTCTCTCTGAGAGCAGCTCGGAAGAGAGGGGTGGGGTCAGCAGAGCTCATTTCGCGCAAATCGTTCATAATCCAGCCTCATCTACAGAAGAAGTGTGTAATGTTTTGTAATGAATCTTTGCAAATCGCCTTTCCTAATAATGTGCTAATTAGCAAGTTTCACGATGAATGCGGCTGAAGTAAACAGTCTCTCTGAGAGAAGCTCGGAAGAGAGGGGCGGGGTCAGCAGAGCTCATTAACATTTAAAGGGAAATGCTACAAAAACGACTTTATCTGAAAAGAGGTGTTTTTTACAATACCATTGAGAAATGTTAACCAAACTATGTTACAGACTTTTCATTAAGACCCTAAAGAATCATATCAACTTGTGGAAAATGGGCATCATATAACCCCTTTAAATGTTTATTTTTATTTTTATTTTTCATTTCAGTTTTAGTTTCAGTTATTTTAGTACATCAAGTTAAACTAAATAAAAATGAGAAATGTTGCAACTCACTGAAATAAAATAGTTTCATTTTATTTCCGTTAAAGTGTATTTGATTTCAAGTAATGTTTTTTTATTTTATTTTTTTTCGTTTTAGTTAACTATGATACATCTGGTTAGAGTAAAAATGACAGGCGGCATTAAGTCATGTTGGTTTACAAAGAGTTTAATCTATTGTACACAGCACTATCATTCTTTAACTAGGGATGACTGTTCTTCCATAAAAGATGTAAAGTGAGTGGGATAGTTCCCTGGCGGTGCAGTATGATATTTATAGATTTTCTTCATGTATATGTCGTTATATGACCACTGCTTTGTATTTTTATGCTCAGAATGGTCATTTACCATATTTTCCCTGTCAGCACCCTCATCTTTGCTGTGGTTCACACTCCTAACGGGTACTCAGACAGATGTTTGGTGTGGGACCAGTGCCAAGGGGCCTGTCGGTCATTGTATGGCACTGCATAGAGGAGACAGACTGTTGCCCCTCTTGTTATAATGAGTCTTGTTGCACTGCCCTCTTGTGATGCACCACCTGTTCCTTAGTGGCCACACAATGGCGTTTTGTGCCAGGCTATGAGCCCATGAGACCTCAGCGGCACAGCTGAGGGGCGTAGTGACACCAGATGTCCCACAGTGCTGGGAAATGGAGATCATACAGCGAGAGCGAGTGTCTGTATCTGACTTCTACATATAATTTTATGTCTATGAACAAGTCTACGAACTTTATGGACATCCCATGCAAATATTATAAAAGTTTTTATTACTCATGTTTCTTAGGGGGTGTCATAATATGAGACATTGCATTCAGAAACAACTAGACGGAGCACAACAGTATGGACCAGAATTTATTTATTTCTCTATTTGATAGTGCAAATAAATGTAGACATTCACAAAACGTTATATTATATATATTTTATTTTATAAATATATGAATGTGAAAATAGTTTAAAACATTCACAAAGCATGTTATAGTATATACATATTTATTTATTTTTTTTTTATTCATCTTCAAGAATCGGCTAAAAACAAATCTCTTCCATCTTTTTTTGACCCTCTAACTCTAGCACTCTCTATTCTAACTCTATATATAAAAAAACTAACACTAGCTTTTCTAATCTTTTTGTATTTGTACGTGTACTGCATTAAGCTAACTGAGACTTGTAAGATAAAAGCGTCTGCTAAATGACTAAATGTAAATGTAATTTATTTATTATGTGAATGTGACAATAAACTGAATCATTCACAAATCTTATTTATTTTAATAAGGTGAATGTGACCATACATTCAATGAGTCACAAAAGCTTAATAGTGTTTATAAATTTAGTTTTTTTTTTACTTATTTAATAATTACTTGAATTTGACAATAAATTGAAACATTCACAAAATGTTTGTTTATTTTAAAATACATTGAAACAGAATTCTACAATGATGTGACTGGAATATTCACAAATAAGACCACTTTAAGACTTCAAGAATGAGCAGAACTGTCAGCCAGATGCTCACTGAAACAATAAATGAGCAATATAATGTCTGTATTGTATAATTGTAGTGTAATTTATTGTATAACTTTTAATGTGGGATCATTTTTCTTGTAAGTATCACAGATACAGAAATAATACACTTAAGGAAAATCAACAGGAGGATCATCTGATTTCTCCCACCCTTTTCATTGCTTCAAACTGTCTTCAGTTTTTCAAGAACTGTCATGTTTTATGGTCAGAGTAGATCTACAAAGCAACAGTGAAGCCTGGATTGTTAACCTTTCTATTTTAACCTATAGCAAACAAAAACAGAGGCAGTTATGCCCCTGAGGAGGCACATACACGCAAATATGCTTCTGTCAATTGCATTGCCTTGAATATTTAAGCGCTAAATGCTTATTCTCAACCAGTCAACAGTAACAAAACAACATCCACCTGTCTCTTCACCAGCTTCATAACAAGCCTGACCCGCATCTCTGTTCCCTGTGGAATGGATGTAATTGCATCTGCTGTCTTTTACCCTAGAAACCATTTGAGAGTGACAAACTATCATGAATCCGTCTGTTTATGACCACAAAACAGCACTAATCTGTTGCTAATGACAACGACCTTCCGCCCCTGTGGGAACCAGTTTATTATGATCTACAGCATGTGGTTAATGACAGCTTTCTCGTCATTCAAAGAAATTATCTGATCCTCCTATGAGCTGCTCTCTCCATACTGTACATGCCTTACCCAGAATGCAGTGGTGGCCAACAGTGGAGAACGTAGCCCGTTACTGCCTTGAATAATTGAAATGGTCATATTTACAAGATAAGACCAGTTGGAAGAACATTTCTATTTTTTTAATGATTAAAAAAAAATTTTTATGATTTTTTTAAATGTGTAGATTTTTTTTTAATTATTAATTTAAAGGGATATTCCACCTCAAAATTAAACTTCTTTCATAATTTACTCACCCTCATGCCATTCTAAACCTATTTTGAAGAATGTTGGTAACCAAACACTTTTGGTTCCTATTGACTTCCATTTTATTTTTGGATACAATGGAAGTGCCATCACAAATTCGGACCATTGAGAAGAAGGTTTTTTTAATGTTATTAATTTATTATTATTATTATTATTATTATTATTATTATCATTTAACATTGTGAATGTACAATTTATATGATTTATT